GGGGGCGTTGGGTCATATCGTCTCCAGTCGAATTCAGATAAGATGGCCTTCAAGGCCAGCCAATCAATCATCAATCATCTTGGGCCTTCTTTGTCGCACCTTCCTCTTTATGATGTGCCAAATGTTCTCTATAGGTGAAAGATCTGGACTACAAGCTGGCCATGTCGGTACCCGGATCCTTCTCCTACGTAGCCATGATGTTGTGATTGCTGCAGAATGTGGTCTGGCATTATCATGTTGAAAAATGCAGGGTCTTCCCTGAAAGAGATGACGTCTAGTTGGGAGCATATGTTGTTGTAGAACCTGAACATAGTTCTCTGCATTAATGGTGCCTTTCCAGACATGCAAGCTGCCCATGTCACAAGCGCTCATGCAACCCCATACCATCAGTGATGCAGGCTTCTGAACGGAGCGTTGATAACAACTTGGGCTATCCTTGTCCTCTCTGGTCCGGATGACATGGCGTCCCAGTGTTGCATAAAGAACTTCAAATCGTGACTCATCTGACCACAGAACAGTCTTCCATTTTGCCACACTCCATTTTAAATGATCCCTGGCCCAGTGCAAACGTCTGAGCTTGTGGAGCTTGCTTATAAATGGCTTCCTCTTTGCACTGTAGAGTTTCAGCTGGCAATGGCGGATGGCACGGTGGATTGTGTTCACTGACAATGCTTTCTGGAAGTATTCCTGAGCCCATTCTTTTATTTCCTTGACAGTGGCATTCCTGTTTGAGGTACAGTGATGTTTAAGGGCCCAGAGATCACGAGCATCCAGCAGAGTTTTACGGCCTTGACCCTTACGCACAGCGATTGTTCCAGATTCTCTGAATCTTTGATGATGTTATGCACGGTTGATGATGATAACTTAAGTCTTTGCTATTTTACGCTGGGTAACACCATTCTGGTATTGCTGCACTATCTTTCTGCACAACAATGGTGGAATTGGTGATCCTCTTACCGTCTTGGCTTCTGAGAGACACTGACACTCTGAGAAGCTCTTTTTATACCCAATCATGTTGTCAATTGACCTAATTAGTGTTAATTGGTCTTCCAGCTGTTCGTTATATGCTCAATTTCCATTTTCCAGCAACTTATTGTTACTTGTCCCAACTTTTTTGGAATTTGTTGACACTGAAATTTTGAATCAACATATTTTTCCTTTAAAATGTTACATTTACTCAGATTAAACTTTTGATCTGTCATCTATGTTATATTACAAATAAAATGTTGACATTTGCCATCTCCACATCATTGCATTCAGTTTTTATTCACAATTTGTTTAGTGTCCCAACTTTTTTGGAATCTGGTTTGTATGTATATATATATATATATATATATATATATATATATATATATATATATTTATTTATTTATTTATTTATTTATTTATTTATTTATTTATTTATTTATTTATTTATTTATTTATTTATTTATTTATTACCAAGATTTTCCCTAAAATTTCCATTTCCTGCTTTGTTAGAATTAGACATAAAATATTCTCCTATGAGTTAATTACCACAGGTTTTAGAAAGAAACTGCTTCTAGGACTGCTGTTAGTTTTATTATTGGTCACATTTCACTTCCCAGATGAACAGAATGTGGATGGTAGATCTTGGCTTTTACCTGTAGTTTTTTTTTTTAATAACTAATATCATGTTTGCTTTTCAAATTAATACAACTTGTGTTTTGGGAAGTGAAATAGCAGTCAGCTTTTTAAACAAATCTGCTCTAAAGTGGACTTTTTTTGTTTCATAATAATTCCCTGCAACAAACAAATGTATAAATGATCATTGGATGTTATTTTTCTTTTTTTTCCCTACAGTGTAGCTTGTTATGAGAATTTATTTGTACTAATTTTACCACCCCTTCTTGATCCTCTCTGTCAGAAGAAGTGGCTGAAAGTGAATCAGTGCTGAAGGTTCTGGGAAGAAAAGTGATGAGCTGCTACGCTAAATACTGGATCTATGTGTGTGGAGGGATGTTCATCATGGTCTCCTTTGCTGGGAAACTTGTTGCGTACAAGATCATCTACATGCTGCTCTTTCTGATCTGCCTGTGCCTCTATCAGGTAGGGACAAACATTATTTTTTATTCTAATTTTCTGATTAAATAAATAAAGGCATATTTTATTTGACCACGAGATCCTCATTTCTAGGCCGGAGCAGTGGGTGGGCATCACAGGGTCAGCCCTCAAATGGTTTAGAGCCTACTTCAATGACAAAACCTTTTGTGCCAACATAAAGGACAACACTTTGGTAGGGGGTACCGCAGGGGTCCATCCTCAGTCCTCTTGTCTTTTTGTTATACCTGCTGCCACTAGGTGCTATTTTCCATAAACATAACTTACCCTTTCGTTTCTACGCTGATGACTGTCAAATTTACTTCCATCTGAAGCACACTTGTGCACGTTCTGTTCAGCCTCTTCTTGACTGCCTAGCTGACATCAGGGACTGGATGGCTTTAAATTTCTTAAGTTTCAATGAGAAGAAGACTGAAGTTGTGTTGTTTCCTCCTAATGTCACAATCAAGAACCACGGTATCAACCTTTCCTCTAGCCCTGTTAGAGAAACAAGTAGTTACTAATCTGAGAGTGAAAATCGGGGCTTAATTTGTAAACCAATTGAAGGCCGGAACACAAACAGCAGGTGGTCTGCCGGGGGGGCGGTGGGACGATTACTGCAGTGTGCTTCCTTTTGGAATTAGTCAGTCCTCCATCACACGATTACAACTGGTTCAAAATGCTGCAGCCCGATTTTTAACCGGTACAGGCAAAAAAGAGCACATTACTCCATTTCTGGCTTACCTGCGCTTGCTCCCAGATCACTTTCAAATTCAGTTCAAAATCCTTTTGTATATTTTTAAATCACTGAATAGTTCTGACCCCTCTTATATCACTGATCTTCTGCAGCCATATGTCCCACAGCACTTTCTGAGGTCAGCAGACCAGATGCTTCTTTCAGTTCCAAGAACACGTTGTAAGCTCAGAGGCGACAGGGCTTTCTCTGTTGCTGGTCCAAGACTGTGGAATGAGTTACCACTGTATGTTAGGCAGGCTCCCTCTCTCACTGTTTTTAAGTCTCGCTTAAAAAAAACACTTTTATTCTCTGGCTTTTGACACAGTGTGATATGCTTTTTAACCTGTCTGTATTCAACAATGTTGGCCCTTTAGTTATTATCTTTTTCCATTTGGATCCATGTTTTTATCCTGTGTCCTTTGCTTGTTTGTTTTTACTGTACAACACTTTGGTTGGCCTTGTTGCTGTTTTAAGTGCTTTACTGTATAAATAAAGTGGTATAGTATGGTATATTTTTTAAATCTGGTGGACTTTAGTAGCTTTGCCTCAGAGTGAAGAGAAGAAACTTGGCAGGTGGAGGATTACATGCAGTAAATGAGGAATGGTCTGAATCTAACCCAACTCATCTGTGAATAAATCTGTCAGCATACACATATATATTTATATCATAAAAGAAACATGTCTTTTAGTCCGTCACCCACATGTAACCACAGTTGTTGGTCAATAAAAGCACTTCTTGTAAAACACTCATTCCAAAGTGAAATATTCTTTTTATTGTCTGTCCAAACAGGTCTCACTTGTAAATGAGTCTTTGAGGCTCAATGTGATTTATTTGTTTAAATAACAGTTTTTAATGAAAATTCTGAGAGCTTTTGCAATGAAAACATGAAGACAAGAAAAGCTGAAGACTTTTCAAACTGTGGCACCTACAATTTACCATTCTCTGAATTAGACCATGTAACAATTGAAGCCACAAATAAGAAAGAACACAAAAAAGGCTAATTTTTTCAAGTTAAATGTGACCACAAAATATATATACTGTAAATCTAAAAAAGGTAAATCTGGTCCTCTGGACATTCCAAAAACAAAACAAAGCAAAACAAACAACAACAAAAAAATAATGTAGATACGTTTCGTCTTTCATCCGAAAGACTTCCTCAGTCTGAGGTGCTGTATTCAGCTCAGTCTTATAAATAGCACCTCCTCAGAGTGAATCAACCAGTTTTGCTGCTGACAACCAAAACCAGCTGCTCACATGGTCAAGAAGGACCATCAGCCTAACGATGGATCATTAGCACACTGATGGCTGTTTACTATTCGCAGAGGGCTGAGTGATACTAGCAATAACAGCATTGGAAGAGGGGAACAGTTGAACACGGAGGCCTCCGCCCCTGTTC